ACGAGATTCAATCAGATCAGATCAGATTAGATCTAATCAGATCAGACCAGACCACACCAGATTAGATCTCATCAAGAATTATTATTATTATTATTATTATTATTATTATTATTATTGTTGTTGTTGTTGTTGTTGTTCTTGTTGTTGTTGGTTGTTGTTGTTATTATTATTATTATTATTATTATTCTTTAAAATGAAAAAGAATAAACTTTAGAAACAAGTTAAAAAGAAAACTGAGAATGTAATCCTTAATTATTAGATGTCGGACAAATTATTTTTAAAATACATTGACAATGTCATTCTAATTCTACTTTTAAAATACATTTTTATTGCTACCTTTAATTTGAGTTTCTAAAAAATTTTGATCTTTTATAAGGATGAAATATTTTAATAAAAACACTATCTTTTCTCTATATTGATTATCTAAATTTAATTACTTTTTAATGTATATATAAATTAAATATTTATTCTAATGTATATATGAACTAATTATTAAAATATTAAATCAATACTCTTATTTCACAAAAAGTGATCATAAAATAAAAAATATTATTACATTAAATTATGAATAATTATTCTAATATATGAATTAACTAATTTTATTAAAAAATAATTATAAAATAAAAAATATTGATATATTATAATATGAATTAACATTACAATTTTCAAATGTTATTATAAATTCAAATCAAATTATTGATTTGAATTTTATATCAAATTAGTGATTTGAATTTTAAATCAGATCATAATTAATTAGATCCAATCACTTGAGATCAGATCAGATCCAATCAAATCAGATCAGATCCAATCAGATTAAATCAGACAAGATCAGATCAGAACTACAGAAAATCAGATCAGATCAGAAAAATAAGTTGAATGAAACGGAGCCTTAGTCGTCGTAGTTTGATTTCATGGAATTTAAAAAGTTTTAAAAAAATGAGTGGTTGAAATTTAATTGGGAAAAAAAATAAAGGTTATGGATCAGAAATCTTTTACTTTATTAAAAAAAAGTAAACAATTGCTTCTTACTCCCTCCGTCCCTTAGTTTTTGTCCACTTTTGACTTTTGGAACTGTTCATCTAAGCACTTTGACTCATCAAATTCTCTCAATGTGTAAGCCTAAATATAGTCATGTGTGATCTTGTTTGATTTGTCTTAACATATAGATTATTAATATATAATTTTTATAATTTTTTAATATACAAATTACAAAATAAAATGAATTAAAGAAGTGCATTGGATGGTGTGTAAAAATGAAAGTAGACAAATAGTCTGGGACGGAAGAAATATTTGTTTTAGGAGAGATTGAAAACTGAAGTAAACGACTAATTGGGAAGGGAGAGATAATTTCTTCCATCACTTCTTTCATTTGTCAATAATTTCTCTACTCATACCCGTATACTTCCTTCGTCTCAAAATACTTGTCTTCAACTCTTCTCAATTTAAATTGTATATTAATAAAATGTAATCCTCTGGCCTACAAAAAAATTTTCATTTTGAATAGTATTTAGTCAAATATTTACACACCTTGACTACAAATTGTGAGAAAAGTATATTGAATTATAAAATAAATTTAATATAATTAGATTCATCTTAGGATCTAATTTTGATACCTCAAATTTTTTTAACATTTCTTTATTTAGATTATATTTAATTTATGGTCAAAGCGTGTAACTGTTTGACAAATTTATGGTCAAAATCAGTGGCGGAGCTATGTTAGTGCAAATGACTGCAGTCACTCGAATTTTCTCTGAACCTATATATAGGTAGTGTTACCCTTTGAGTGACCTTCCTGACTCTTATGAAATACCAGAAAATCAGTCTACTTCTCCAATTAAATGGTACTCTCTGGTCAGAGGGAGGGCCTAGATATAGCTCCAACAATGTTATTTTATGACGAAAGAGTACCTAGACAACATGGGGAGTGAAATAGCGGCAGCGGTGACGCTGTTAGATTTGTTCTTCCTTTTCTAGATCTGTTTTTTGCTTTTTACTCTTTTTTAGGCAATTAATTTGATAAAGTGATTTTTTTTATATTTGGTGATACTCTTTAAAACTAAAATATACCCGAGTACTTCGTTAGTCTGTAAATTAGTATGAGCATTATTTAAATCATGAGCATTAAATCTTACTTTTATACTCTATTAAATTAGTATGAGAATTATTTATTCATTTTCATTTTAATCACTTTTTTTAACATATTCTTTAAAAAAAATATAGTCACGTCGCCTATTATTTTAGTACTTTCTCTGTCCCAATTTAAATTGCATGTTTCGATTTACGATATTTGAATGAAGTTATTTTTTCAAACCATTTTAAAAATGGTGTATAATTAAAAATTACATATTTCAAAAGTACATTATAAGATCTATAAAACTAGTAGTCATATTACTCTATTATTTTATCAAAGAACTAACGTAAATGATGAAAGAAAGTGAATAAAATTTGATCATGTGCTTAGGGAACATGCAATTTAATTTTGGCCGGAGAGAGCACAAAGTATATTGCACCCACAACTATTTAAACCTGACTCCACCACTAGTCAAAATGAGAACTTTTTTATGGGACGAAGGGAGTAATAAATATTTTATAGTTTCAAACACGTTAAATATATTAAAATCATTTTTATACAACGGAGTAATATAAAATATAATTTTTATTTAATTAAGATTCAAATTTCATCTAATTTGATTTTAAAATGTCAAACTAAACCAAAACTCCATAGGTAAGAGGTACTATGCATCAAAGGGCCTCATGCAATTTGACTCGTGGAGTTGTGGGTTGAAAAATAAAGCGAACCCACAAGTAAGTTGTCTTTATTCCATTCTTCTCTGCAAGGTTTGCCTAGAAATTACAAAAGCACAAACAACAATGCGGGAATCGGAATGGGAAGACGTGGTACTACCAGAGTACTTTTCTTAGTTTCTAAGATTAATTTTCTTCTAGAAATTTACCTTCTATCATAATTAGATCTGACAAAAGAGAATCGGAATTCCGAACTCATTATTCGAAACAACTCATTATTCGAAACAAATAATTTGAAACATAAAATGATCCAAAAGTGAAGATTCCATTTATAATTCAATAGCCAAAATGATCCAAATTAAATCAAAACCAAACTAAATTTATCCATACTCGATTTAAATCCAAAGCCGATTAGATCCACCTATTGGATTCCAAATCAATTAAATCTGAAATTGATATGACCTAAAAGCGATAAGATCTGAAACTGATAATAATTAAAACCGATTATATCCGAAACTGATTCTATCTGAAAATAAATATATATTTATGTACATTAGTAAGCAATTACTTATATTTACTTATATTTCTTACTCCCTATGTCCCAAAATGAATTACCATGTATAAACAAAATGTGAAATTTTGTATGCTTTAAATTTATTTTATTTCTAAATTGGTATAAAAATAAACAATACAACTTACATAAGAAAAAATAGTTAACATTTATACAGTACAAACTAGAGCACAGTTAAACAGATATTATTTCACCCCTCTCGTGCAATATTGTGTGGTTGGCTAAACATATGCTTGAAATTGCATTTAATTTCACTCAAATTTTATCAAATTACATACACACACACACACACACACATACATACATATACACACACACAAGTTTAACTTCATTAGTTAGATAGGTTTTTTATATTTTAATAATTTTTGAGTTAACATTAGCTAGTTTATTATACTTTAAGTAAAAAGAGTAAAGTGGGAGTAAAACATTAAAAAAATATACCAAAATAGGAATTTCATATTTTTATTCTCGAAATAACATTGAAAAACGAGATTATTTTGGAAAGACTGTCAAAAGCTGAGATTATTTCAAATAATTTCTCCTATTTTCAATGTAATATTGTGAACGAAAATTGAAATATTGTATGATTGAAGCCTTGAAGGGGTGTAATATTCTCCTCTACTACCTCGTTCGTTGAGCATTTCTCACGTTTTGATTTTCTACAACAAACTACTTTCAACTTTTGACATCAAATGAAATAAAAACTATGTGGTATATTAAAATCTTATTCTTTTAGAGTGGAAACATTAACTATCAACTTCTTCCAACTCTTTACATTTTCTTCTAACAATGACTTGAAAAATATTTATATATAATAAATGTACACTAACATTATATTTCGACATTGATAACATACCACTTTCATTCTCCAACATTTTGTGCTTGCTTCCAGTTTCTTTCCATCCTTTCTAGTTTTTTTAATATCCAATTTTGAAATTTCAAGAAAAAAGAATATGGCCTAATAACATTATTTTTATATCAATTTTTAATGCTAATTGTATTTAATTACTTAATCCATCTTACAAAACATTTCTTATTCTGGAATTTAATAAGAGTGTATTTAGGTATTGATTTTCTAAAAATGTCCTTGGATGTTATATGTAAAAGTAGATATGATGAGCACATTGGTAGTGGAAAAGTATGATGTGATAGGTATTTTAAGAATTAGTGGGGGTAAAAGTACTTTTTAATAGAAATGAGAAAAGTTTTTTGGGACGGATGAAAAAAGAAAGGAGAAAGGTTTTGTGAGACGGAGGAGTAGTAAAGAAATTACTCTAAATAGGAGTAAAACATAGGAAAAATACCAAAATAAAAGTTCTATGTTTTTATTTTCTAAATAGAAATTCACATTGTGTTAATGTGGCTTGCACATGGGTATTTTAGTATACTTTTTGGTAACGTACATGGTCATAATTGGAATTCAAATGCATTTAAAATCCTATTTTGAGAATAAAAATATGAGATTTCTATTTTAGAAAATGTGTGCTTATTTTTTGTCTATTTTTCTAATTAATAATCAAAATTTATAATTTTTGAATACAAAATTCAAAAGTGAACAAATATAGCCATAGTAATAATGATCACTTAATTAGGCCCCATCATCCGAGTTGAGTTTCGAATAATTAGGCCGACGGAGGAATAAACAGGCTGCCCTACCGAAAATAATTTAACACGACTTGACTCAGATGGTAAGGAGAGTCTCTCCTCCCACGAAAAAAGAGGAATGAAATATTTCATTGATTCTCTCTCCATTAATATACGCTCACGCCGAAAGCTATACCCGGCTACGGCACACTTCAAAAGCTTGAGAGAATTCTCTGTGCCTTTCGTAGCTACCAATACCGTCGATCAATATTCGAAGATTTCAGAAACTATGCGCCGTGAATTGCAGCTTCGCCGGAGATTTTTGGATCGGCGGCGGTGGACTCTGCAGGACATGATAATCTCTCTTCTCCTCTTATTTCCTGCGGCTGATCAGTGTTCGTCTCACCGGAGGTTAGCTAAATGCTCTTCTCTAAATAAGTCAGAAACTGTGTGCGATTGAAATTTGTTGATCGATTTCCGTGATCAGATCCTTTTTCTCTGAAACCGCAGTAGAATTTTGGTGGAAGCAGGCGTACGGTTAGACGTACAGGGAAAAGAGGTAAAATCAGAGTCAAAACTTTGCTACTTTAATTAATGTCTGGCTGTAACATCACATCTGTCCACTTCCTGGAAAAGCATTGCTATTCAGAAGCACGAAATTGCAGTGTTTTTGACGAGACGAAATGACGAATACGCGAAGTTTTCCCTCTTTTTTACCATTTCAGGCAGTGATGAGCAATGGGGTCGTTAGTGTTACGCTCTCTGTTCCAGATGGGCTTGTCACAGGGATATCTTACCGAGGGATTGGCAATTTACTTGAAACTGGAAACCCCGAAAACGACAGAGGGTACGTGGTTTTTTTATACTTTCGAGACGTTTATATAATGATTTCTTTCTCTCAAAGAAAGGAAACCGCAGGTATTGGGATGCCATCTGGCTCGGCCCAGGAATCAATGGAGAACAGGACAGGTAAATATTCATTCATCAACTGTGTAGCTCAACTGGTCTAAGATCCAAGGGTCGAATGTCGGCAGTAGCAGTTCTATTATTTGTAATAGCTCCATGTGCAAACCGGACATGAGACGATCTCTCTAAACACCAGATTGAAATTATATCAAGATTTACTTTTCTCACAATCTTATGGGCCGGGATGTGGGAACGTAGAAATTACCCTAAATAGGACTAAAACATAGAGAAAAGTACCAACATAGGACTTTCATGTTTTTTTCTCCGAAATAGGACTTTGCACTGTGGTAATATGACTTTGCACTGTGGTAATGTGGCAGTGTACATGTGCACATTACTATACTTTTTTGGTAATGGATATGATATGTTTGGTAATGTAAGTTTTATTTTGGTAATAAAAACATAGAAGTCCTATTTTAGTATATTTTCAATGTTTTAGTCCTACTTTAGTCTTTCTCCCGTAAGAACGCTTGGGTGTTCCACTTTTTAAAAAGCCTTTCAACATGTTGATCTTGTCTTTTCTATGATTGGTTTTAAATTTTGATGGGAATAATGTCAACCAATGGAACCATTTTTTAAGATTGGAAGGCACGAGTTTTGAAATCGTAGCCAATAATGAGAACGGAGTGGAGATTTCATTTGCCAGAAGATGGGATTCTGCTTCCCGAAATGGTGGAGCTCCAGTTAATATTGACAGAAGGTACGACTCATTTTTTATTTTATTTTTTTCATTCTTTAACTCTTACGAGATTGGTTGGTTGAGATTAGTGTGATTATATTCTGGTAAAAAAAAATTGACTAGATTTGTGATGCTGAGAGAATCGCCTGGTTTCTACATATACACCATACTTGAGCGTTTAGAGGGATTTCCAGGCGTGCGTATGGAAGAAAACAGGGTTGTATTCAAACCTCGAGGAGACATGTATGATTTTCGTTTAGCTCGCGCACTTCCTGTTTGTGGGAATGCCTGAACGACAAAATGTCATTTGACGAAGATATATTGTTTGATGAAATCAGGTTCCATTACATGGCTGTCTCAGATGATAGGCGGAGGTTCATGCCGACCCCTCAGGATCGGCAGACCGGCCAAAAGCTTGATTACCCGGAGGCAGTTCTCTTGACACGCCCGAGCATGCCAGGTCTTAGAGGAGAGGTTCATATACCACTTCTCATTCTAAATACACCGTGATAGCTTGATCTTTTTTTCTACTCCCTCCTTCCTATAATAATCTTCCCAAAACACTATTCCAATTTCCAATTTCACGAGAATTTATACTCCCTCCGTCATATAATGATTTTCCCAGAGCACTATTCCAACTTCACGGGAATTTATATTTATTTGTGTTTTTTCATGCCTTATATGATAAAATAAAATATTCTTGTCACCACTTGTTTTGTTGAACTTTTGGTGTAGTTTTTAAATATGTATGTTTTATTTTTTATTTCTATACCAATATTTATATAAAATAGATTGAAAAAACTTGGGATTTTTCTTCGTTTTGCGAACCGGGAAGATCATTATAGGACGGAGGGAGTATTTATTTGTGTTTTTTCATGGCCTATATGATAAAATAAAATATTCTTGTCACCACTTGTTTTGTTAGATGTAGTTTTTAAATGTGTATGTTTTATTTTTTATTTCTATACCAATATTTAAATAAAATAGATTGAAAAAACTTGGGATTTTTCTTCGTTTTGCGAACCGGGAAGATCATTATAGGACGGAGGGAGTATTATCTAGAATTATCCTAACTTTTTTAGATCTTTAAAAAATAATTTTATTTATTGTGCATAATAATTCTCACTTTACTGAAATTTGCGGGTATTTGGTCGTCGTTAAGCTATTGACGACCGATTAAAATAACCTCTTTTGCGCAACAAAATAAAAGTTGACATGATATTTGATGATTTTTTAAAAATTTATCTAATTTTTAAAATGACTTTCTACCTCCATCATATCTTTTTCTTTTTTAGGACTAGTCTTACCTCAGAAAATTAAAAAATAGATAAAAAAAATACCCGGAGTAACAAAAATGAAAAAAACAACTAAAACCATGAAAAATTAATGAAATACTCGTAAATAAGGTTATCAATAAAAGCTAACTTGAAACTAATATGAAATAAAAAATAAAAATATACGAAGTTGTAGGTTCTAACATTTTACGTACTGTACGGAGTATTAATGTGCCAGTTATTGCAGTTGGTCAAATGTGAAAAAAAAAATTAAAAATAAAATATTTATTATCCTATTAAAAAGCTAAAGATGTAAAAACATATTTTTTTATTAAGAAATAACTAAATTGAAATTACGTTAAAGTACGAAAATAAATTTTTTTAATTTCTTATTTTTTATTTTTATTTCTATTTTGTAGGGTTTTAATAAGAAAATAATTTTTTCTATTTTTTATTTTTCATTTTTATTCTAATTTTTTACCAATGGGAAGAAGCAATACAATAATATTCTGTATAGTGCCTAAAATGTTATAACCCACCACTCTGTATATTTTTAGGTTAGTTTCTTATAAGTTTGAGGTTTGTTTTTATTAATCATCTTATTCTCATCTTCATTATTCTTTATATCTATATCTATTTTTTTCTGATGTATGACTAATCTTTAAAAAAAGAAAAATAAAAGGAGGTAGAAACTCATTTTCATATTTAAGTGAAAAATTCAAAAAAAGTCAAAAATTAAAAATGAAAATTCATAAAAAATAATCTCAACTTTTATTTTGTTAACAAAACAGGTCGCCGTTATTTAGCCTTTAGCAGTTTAACGGTGACCCAAAACTCCCAAATTTCTAGAAAATTGAAATTATTATGCATCAGAATAAAATGTGAAACTATTTTTGAATGAAGGAGTAAAGTTGAGATTATTTTATATGATTTTTCTAATAAATTTTAATTATACACTTTCCGTGTTACTTAGAATTGTATATACTCAAAATGGGAATATAAAAGAGAAAGGGAGGGACTATGATAATTTGAAGAATGGTGGAATCATTGTGAAGCTCCAATTATTTTTCATTTGTCGTTGCTTATATTTTCCTAAATCTTTGTTTGGATGTTGAGAAAAAAGAGGGGAAAGAAAATTAGAGGTGAGAAAACACATACTTCAATATATTTTCTCTTGTTTGGATAAAAATGAAAATGATAAGAAAATGAAAAATAATAATGGATCCCACTTAAAAACTGTTCTCACCTCCCATGGTGAGAAAATGCACCAAGAAGCACTATAACTTTTTCTTCTCCATTTTTTTTCTTTTGAGAAATTAAATAAAAGGTTCCTAGTTATGATTCATTTTAAATATTTAGTCCCTACATATCAAATATCAATAATTTAGTCTCTAATTATTACGGAGTATATTATTTTCCATAAATAGTCCTTTGCTAATATTTCCGTTAAAAACGTGGATAAAATTGTAAATTCACGCTCCTTTCTCTCTTCAATTAAGCTTCCTCCCTCCTCTCACACTCCTTTTCCAAACCCGTCGCTAAGTTTGAAGCTTTGAACCCAAAACCAAAATCATCCCTCCTCTCTCAATTATTCGTCTTTTTGGTGGAATCCAAAATCGAAACTAGTAACCTTCATGAATGAGTTTTAAGGTTTGTTTTCTTTGCAATTTCTTGAAACTAACCCATAAAACTCATCCACGAAGGTTATTGGTTTTGATTTTGGATTCAACTAGGAAGATGAACGATTAAGAGAGGAGTGTTCGTTTCGGTTTTGGGTTTAGAGCTTCAAACTCAACGACGGTTTTGAGAAAGGAGTGCGAGAGGAGGGAGTAAACTTAATTCAGAGAGAGAGGAGCGTGAATTTACAATTTTATCTATTTTTTTACGAAAATGTTAACAAAGGACCATTTGTGGAAAATAATATAATACGGAGTAATTGGGGACTAATATATGATATGTGTGACTAAATATCTAAAACGAACTATAACTAGAGACCTTTTATGGAATTTACTCTTTTCCTCTTTTTTTTCCATATTTTCTCATCACTTTCACATCATCCAAACAACAATACTTTTCTTTCCATTTTCTCATCACTTTCTCATTTGCTCATTTTCTTTCTAACTATTTTCTTTCCTCCCCTTTTCTCACCTAATCCAAACAAAGGGTAAGGTTTCATCACCTCGAATATGCTTGCAGGTAGATGATAAGTATTTTTACTCTAGTGAGAGTAAAGACATCAAAGTACATGGGTGGGTATGCACCAATCCCCCTGTAGGATTTTGGATGATCACTGCAAGCAATGAGTTTCGCACTGGTGGGCCTCTCAAGCAAGAGCTAACATCCCATGTGGGCCCTACCATGATTACTGTAAGTAGAACACAATGATGATCAGCCTACATGGACATTGCTAATTGAATCTTTTTACTTTCTTGATTTTTAACTGAACTGCAGACTTTTGTTAGTAGGCATTATGCTGGGGAAGATCTAGATGTTAAATTTGAAGATGGAGAAGCATGGAAAAAGGTTTTAGGCCCTGTATTTTTGTATCTCAATTCAGACCCTACTGCTGAGAGTGATCCCTCTGTGCTCTGGAATGACGCAAAAGAAAGGGTATGTCTTTTACAGTCTTATATGTGTCTCATACCACTGCAGCATTTTCTTTCGAAATGTTACTTGATCTATATTCTTTAATGTACAGATGAATCAAGAAGTTGAAAGCTGGCCATACGATTTCGTGCATTCAGTAGACTACATGAAATCAGATCAAAGAGGGATTGTTAAGGGTAGATTATTTGTTCATGACTGGTAATTTTCCTCGACTAGATCATTCCTCTATCTCCTAGCAATTGATCCCACCTAAAGATAAAAAACACATTATATTGCTCATGGCATCTCTTTAGGTTTATTGATGAACAACCGGTTCCAGCCTCTCACGCATATGTGGGGTTGGCAGTGCAAGGTTCCCCGGGATCTTGGCAAAGAGAAAACAAGGTAGTGTCTTTTTCAGACATGCTCTTAGGAACATTATGTAATTAAATTTATCAGAATAATTATTCTATTTTTTTTTCTAAATTTACTTTCATTTTAGGGGTATCAATTCTGGACCCAAGCTGACAATGATGGGAACTTCTTCATCAAAAGTGTAACAGCAGGTACTTACAATCTGTATGCAACAGTCCCGGGAAGGATTGGGGACTACAAATACGAATTCGACATTAGCATTCAACCAGGTCCTTAGCTCTACCCCCTTTTCTGCTTTTTTATATTCTTTGAAACTCTTATGCAATTTATCAAGTTATTTTTGTTCACATAATTCAGGTTCTGGTGTGGGATTAGGCAGTTTAGTGTATAAACCTCCTAGAAATGGAGCTACCCTTTGGGAAATAGGTGTTGCTGACCGCACGGCAGCTGAGTTCTATGTCCCAAGTCCTAGCCCCACGTACAAAGTTAATGATTTTGAAGATGAAATGCAAAACAAGTGAGTTCAAACCCGATTAAGTTTTTCTGAAAAATAAGTGACCTCACAATTGATTAACATCCTGGCAATATGAGTACGTTCAAAGTTGAATACAATTCGTATTGAATTTTCAGAGGGCCATGATCTTACGAAATCTGCCATAACATCAAATTGTATCTTTAAGATTAATTTAACTCTTAAAGTTCGCTGCCTAGTATTAATCATATCATTTTGACTGAGATCATAGTGTTTTATTTGAAGGTTTAGAGAATATGGCTTGTGGAAGAGATATACAGAAATATATCCTCTTAGAGATCTTGTATACACTATTGGAATTAGTGATTACACTAAAGACTGGTTTTTTGCTCATGTCACCAGGTATGGGTTGGCATTTTTCAGCCTTATATTGTAGGCATATTGAGTTTTGAATTGCGGAATGTTTTTCCATAATTGACATGTTGAGTATTTGAGATGGCCATATATGTGGTTGCCTATAAAAATAATGTTTCATCCATTTCAGGGAATTGGGAAATGGAACATATGGAGCAACCACATGGAGAATTGTATTCGAGCTACAAAGTGTAAATACAGCATCATATTACACACTCCAATTGGCACTGGCATCCGCTGAACAAGCAGAATTACAAGTACCAAGTTTCGCCTTTACCTCTTTCTCTTACCATTTCTCACTTAATTTTCCTAAGCATACAACTCCGTAAGAATTTTGAAGGAGGTTTGCTTTATTTTCTAAATGATGACAAAATCACTCCCTCCAAATAACTAGATAATAGTAAATCATATCCCCCCCCCCCCTCATATCATGCAATTAATTTCACACTTTCTTTTTTCATCCATCTCAAAATAAATTCACATTTTTATCCTTCACTACTACAAAAAAAGTAAATCCACTACCTCATTTGCATGGGTTAGTAACAATAACCGATGCAATAGCCATTTAAAGACTGTTTTCAAGAGGTTCCTTTAAAAGAAATGAATATGTGGTTTACAAAATTCCTATCTTTTTTACAAATTTCGACTACACACTTTACAAAGCAAAAAGGTTGCTTCCAAAAGGTTGTTTATATGTGTGTGTGCGTGCGCGCTATGGTTATTGAAACTTTGTTAGATTCATGACTAGATTGGTTGGAACACGTCATATGTGCCCAAGTTGTATGACCTAATGACCCTAAATAGAAACATAAAGAACATGATTCAGTTTGGTTCATTTGATAAACTAAATCCCCATTAGATACAATGGATACATAAGAAACTTATGAGGCCACATAATAGCGTACGAGGAAGTGTATGTACTTGATCCATCCAACCCTAGGACTCTACCATCCACCCCACACTAAATGCAAAATTGTTTTCTCCAAGAGAAGATAAGATTTTTTTCAACCATACAATTTTGTTCACCATAACAAAGGAAATAAACAGAACATCACATAGGCATGACACTTGCACTAAAACAAACACTTGAATGCGTTTGAAAATGATAGTCTCATGTTTCTCTAACCTCGCACGTTAGACGCTCTTATAACTAGTGTACTTAGAGAGCTATACCTAAAGTTGTACTCCAATTTGTACACCAGACGCTTTGCACCACACATTTCTTGGTGTGGATACAAAAAATCAAGGAATAAATAAGAAATGTATAGTGAGGAGATGGTTGATGTACAAGCATGGACACAATTTGGTGTACCCATGTCATTTATCATTACTCAAGATATAATTATTGTGACACATGACGAAAGCACTATATGCTTATTACATTGTACGTTTATGTTAATGTTGTTTTAAACTACTTGGAATTGAAGGTGCGTGTCAACAATGAAGGAGCGCAACCCCCTCATTTCACAACTGGCGTTATAGGAGGCGATAATGCCATAGCGAGACATGGGATTCATGGGTTGTATTGGTTGTTTGGCGTTAGAATAGAAGGAGCATGGCTTGTTCAAGGGAGAAACATCATCTTTCTAACACAGGCAGGAGCCTCCAGCCCTTGGAGAGGTGTCATGTATGACTATATTAGGTTAGAAGGCCCTGATGAGTTTAGGAATACATCATATAATAATTGTAATTCTATTTCTTCGTCTTTTTTTCTATATTTTTTTCTCTTCATTTTATTTTATATGTGGGAAATGTCTCGCTTTCGTACATTGTAGTAGTCCTCATAAATGAGAAAATGCACATTTTATTTTTCATCAATACATAATACTCCCTCCGTTCTCAAAAACACTTCCTCTTTCATTTTTTCTACTTCCAACAAAACACTTTCCCTTTCTATTAAAAAACCACTTTTACCCTTACTTTTTCATACCCTACCTATCACATTATACTTTTTCTCTAATAATCTATCCATCACATCTTACTTTTACCCATCACATCAGGGGCAAAATTGGAAATCAACTATACTTTAACACTTCCTTATTTTTGCCTCGAAATCAAATGGGAAGGGTTTTTCCAAACGGAGGGAGTAGCTTTTTGCTTTACATGTATAAGTTCTAGCTTGTTATAAGCGGCCGGTTCAAAGGATGCGGTCAAACTCATGCATGAGCAAAATAGTTTTATTAGATTTATTGATGGGTATGTGTGTCCACTTTTGACTTTTTTGTCAAAATTGGTAAACTTTGATTGCAAATCAAATAAAAATGATATTAAATATTGATACAAAATAGTTTTATTAGATTTATTATATAAAGTATTTTTGAAATTTTATTTTATCTAATTAATATAAAGTATACTCCTCCGTCCTAAATATTTGTCTAGTTTTGACTTTTTTCAGTCAAAATTGGTAAACTTTGACTTCAAATTAAATAAAAATGATTTTATATATTGATAAAAAAATAGCTTTATTAGATTTATTATATGAAATATTTTGAAATTATTATTTTATCTAATTAAAACACAATATATATTTTATTTAATTATAGGTCAAATGTTGAAATGGTTGACCAACAAAAATCAAAACTAGACAAATACTTAGAGACAGAGGTGATTTTTTTTAATTTTATTATAGGTCAAAGGTTGAAAATGGAATGACTCAAAAATTAAAAGTCAAAATTACTCTAGAATGGAAATAGTATTTTAATTTTATGCACTTGGGGTATTTTGGACATGTGGCCTGCGCACCAAAGAGTGGCCTTGAGGAGCTCTCGTGCATCTATAAAGTACCCTCCCCGACATGTGAAGAGGGGATCAATTTTTATTCTAAGCACACTTTACTTAAATCACAAGACTCCATTTTATTTTCTCTAATACTTTCCTATTCGCTCCTCTTGAGGTTCCTGAAATCTTTGACTCAATTACATTCAGCATGGTGGTGTTGCAATAGAGAAAAGGTTTTGTGGTGGTTGTGGATGGTGGCTTGCCGTCGGAAACATGGAAGACATTATCATTGGGGTGATTTCCAATAAGTGAAGATTTGGGAAATGCATTCCCAAATGGTGAAGGTGTATCTGACAATGTGCAAGGTAGATTTGATGCTTAACAACAGTGGTAGTACTGTTAGTTTATTTTTTTTAGACTAACGGTAGAGCCAATACCGTTATTTCTTGGGTTATTTATAAATATGAAATGTAATACTTCTTTCGTCCCCAATTTGATTACAAATTGTGGGTTAGGAGTAAAATTTCTTACTTTTTGAAATCATATTATTTACAAATTGGTATATCAATAAGATATAAAAATTACATATTAAAATTACATAAAAATTACATAGTAAAATTTCCTATTTTTTGTTAGGTGGATTGTATGGTGTAGGATGATTAGTGGTGTTAGATGTGATTTTTTTGTTAGGTGCATTGTATGGTGTATGATGGTTCATGGTGTTAGATTAGATTTTTTATTAGATAAAAGCATTAAATTTGAACATTAATAGAATTTTTATTCATTTGATGCACTACTACTGAAATTAAAAAGCATACAAATAAAACTTGTCGTGCATATTTAAAAATCCCACATTGAAATTTGTAATTTAACTAAGTACTTCGACGATGCCTCCGTGGTCGCATATCCATATTATTTGTGAAACGGGTGCTCACTCGACGACCTGCCTGCGACCTTTGCTTTGAAAATGGTCGGACTAATTCGTAATCAAGAGTAGGTCATTCAATTTCATTTTGTAGTGGCATAACACTTCCAGAATATGCATCGAGATAATTCTGAAGTGAGAACACTCATGGCGCACACAATATCTCCTGGTGACACGTTGTTCCAATAATTGGGGGATAGTATTGAAAGCTACATCAATGCCCTCGTGCCTAACAGAAATGATGCACACCGACATATTGTAAGGTACTACATAATGCATTAAATGCATCATGAACCCGCTCCAACTATCCCCTTCTTCTTTGTCAACAAGGGAATAGGCTAAGGGGTAAATCTCGTGATTTGTTGTCATTGTTACTGCCAACAACAACACCCTCTTATATTTCCCATACAAGTGGGTGCCATCAACAGAGATAACGGGAAAACATTACTTGAACCCATCTATAGACGCTTTGAAAGACCGGAAAACGTACATGAATTGAAAAGTTTGTGGTGGTGTTGTTGGCCGCATTTGTATTTCGGCCACTGACCCAGGATTACTTTGAATCAACGCTGCTAATAGAGGCAATAGCTTGTTATACGAATCCTCCCAAGATCCGTATAGTCGTTGAATGGCATTCGACTTAGCTAACCAACATTTCTTATACGACACAGAAACTTGAAATAAGTTGTATATATCTTTAATGATGTACCTCACCTTGTAATCAGCATCAACAGCAATTTTAGAGAATATAATTGTCGAGATGAGCTTGCTTGTAATAAGCTTATCGTCCTTCTCTTTTGAAAAGTCTGGTCTGCATAAATGTTGACTTCTATACTGTTTGACAGTCCAAACAGATGCAACCTCTGCAGCCTGGATGAGCCATGGACATTGTTCCAAATACGTGCACTTCGCTCCTCGGAAATGGGGAAAGGGCGTGAAGCGGCATAAACTCCATCCTTGTATTTGGGATATTTTCCCCAAATGTTTTTGATGGAATTGAGATTATCTTCACCAATAGCATCAAGGAGTTCATTGAAGACCTCTTCGAATGAGATGAAAAGTGAGGTTGTGAGAGAAGTGAGTAGATATGTGAGAGTAAAGCTCGGTGGTGAGATTTTGAGAGTTAAGCAAGAAATATATAGATGGGATATTTTTTTAGTTGGGTGGATTGAATGGTGCAGGATTGTTTGTAGTGTAATGTGAGATATTTTTTTAGTTGGGTGGATTGAATGATGTAAGATTGTTTGTAGTGTAATGTGAGATATTTTTTTAGTTGGGTGGATTGTATGGTGCAGGATTGTTTGTAGTGTAATGTGAGATTTTTTTTTTAGTTGGGTGGATTTAATGGTGTAGGATTGTTTGTAGTGTAATGTGAGATTTTTTTAGTTGGGTGGATTGAATGGTGTAGGATTGTTTGTAGTGTAATGTGAGATATTTTTTTAGTTGGGTGGATTGTATGGTGCTGGATTATTTGTAGTGTAATGTGAGATTTTTTTTAGGTGGGTGGATTGAATGGTGTAGGATTGTTTGTAGTGTAATGTAAGACATTTTTTTAGTGTGGTGGATTGTATGGTGCATGATTGTTCGTGGTGTTAGATTGAAAATTGTAACGCCCCAAAACATACCCTAGAATTATTAATGAATAAATAATCAATTAATCAAATTTGTTTGGATTAAAATAAATTATTGTTGGGCTTTGGACCGATACGAAATTTGTTTTGACATCTAAATCTGGATAAGTCTCATAGAGATAAATCCAATATGTGGACTATTTGTGTGGTCTTGATTGGGAACCTGAGTACAGACCCAAAACAAGAGTAAATAAAGAATTTGTTTAGAATGTAAATATTGAAACGATTTGTTGAAATAAATCATGAGAATAGTTGATATGAATTAAATGAGAGAACCTTTTATCAGAAAGGTCAATTAAACCAATTTTGACTCTGTTAAAGTCAAACACCCAAAAATATGATGTCGGAAAAAGTATTACAAATAATTATGAAAAGTATATCGTTGTGTAGAGCTTGACTGTCTGACCCCAACGGTTCAATCGGATTTCAATTTGAAGAAAATTGGACCAAAAAGTATACCCCGACTGGGACCAAATATTAGTCCCAATCAGGGACTACGTACTAAACCGCGCCCTGTTCAATTACGCCGATTCCAAAATCCGAATCACCGAGCAATCAAGGAAGCTGCAAACTCCCATGTCTTCTTCCTTCCTCACTAAGGCTATATAAGGACCACCTCTTCCTACCCAATTCTTCACCATTCTTCTTCATTCTTCTTCCTAAATGTTCATGAAAGTGTGAGGAGTGTTGTGGTGCTGTCAATTTGGTGTGAAGTCGCTGGAGTTGGGAGAAATACTCGCC